AAAATAATGTTCTTTTTAGCAACATCATATGACCCCTTTAAGCCTTGTCTGACTCATAGATGACCTTAACCAAGTTTTGAGCCTCCTCAGGGCACTAAAACTCCTCTCGGCTTCTGAGGAGGAAGCAGGGACAACCAGCAACAACCTTATTAAAGTCTCAACTTGACTGAAAAGGCCTCCTACCTCAGGAACCATGTTTTGAATGATTTCTGCAACGTCTGCAGTAGTTTGAAAGGTGTACATAGGCTCAAACATGTTAAGCTGCACCTGCAATTGTCTTGAATTTATTTCAGGGTACTCATCCACTACTTTGTCCAATCCAGCTTTCAGTAGCACATTCTCAAGTTTTTGCAGTTTTTGGATGCCATCTTGGTCAAATCTTTCAGTCATCTGGGTGTTCACAGTGTCCAAGCAGCTGTAATACTGGGGCCTGAAGTAGGACTGGACATTAGGATGTAAATCAGGTGCAGTCTGACTGCTGTATCGTTTGGCTTGTTTTCGGATGTGAGGCATCTGAATGGGTTGCAGATCCAGCTTTGTTACTAGATCAGAAGCTTTGGTGAACAGTTGTTGGAAGTGTTCATCTGTTCTCCTCTCTTGCATGCTTTTCTTAACATGCTTCACAGACTCCAACATCCCTGATACTGTCTGCTGTTTGAGCTGCAGGCTGGTGTTTAAACACTCCAACTCCCCAATTATGTCCTCTGCCATTACAAGGCCAAGCACAGTGTTTCCTTTAAAGAATTTTTCATGAAATCCACTGGCCTTAATTGATGTATCGGTTGTGCCACAGGATGCCATTTCCTCCAAAGCAGTCAACACAGATTCGTACTGTTTGAGAATTGCATGAATAGCAGATGTCCGAACAGTCCAACTGGTGGGGCAAAGAGGCTTCAAAGAAATAAAAGAATGCTGTGATTTTGCTATGTCCTTAAAAATTGCCTTGAATTTCACAGACTGGTTGAAGAAGGAGCCTAATTCGTGGACTAAGCCTAGTGTGTCTCTAATCACTGGAGTGGCAACACAGGCAGCCTGTGTAATCAAATTAACACAGTGTGTACCACAGTAACAGTACAAAGCCAATGACTGCTCCTTTTTTAAAAGAGCTTGAACACCTTGCCTTTGACAAGCCATGTTGGAAGCTCCATCATATGTTTGTCCTCTGAGTTGAGACAGAGGAAGATTTAGCCGGATCATGACATCACGTGCCATATTTGCTAAAGCCTGTCCTGTTGTTGTTGATATCTCATAAAGTCCAATAAACTCCTCTCTTGGCTGAAGATCAGAATCATCATATCGAAGGCAGATGGATTCTTGTTCAACTCCTGCAGAGTCCTGGGTCTCATCAATGATCAATGAAAACTGTACAACTGGCAAATAATTTATTTCAGAGACTATTTCTCTGACAATGGAATTGCCCATGCACATTAATATCTCATTTTGAATTTTTGGACTTGTAAAGTCCACATGTCCTTCCAACCAAGTTGATAGCTCAGCATCATCTTCCGCTTTGTATTGCAGGAGCTGGATAAAATTTCCACTTTGTCTGTCAGCTCCTCTAAATAGCAGCCCTTGTCGTGCCAAGTACTTTGCACCTTTGAATATTTTCATTAGATTTTGTCTTGCTCTTTCTTGTTGTTTTTCACACTCACGTGAAAGTTGCACATCAACAGGACATATCTCCTGAATCCTATCATCAGAGCTACTTTGTGACACTGACTGTCTTTATGAGCATCAAATTTTTCTACTGCCTTTTTCCAGTTTCGAAAGCCATTTGAAATAAAAGCTGGATCCTTTTTTGAAGCAAGCTTTGACTTGGAATTTGCTAAATACTTTGCGCAGTAAAAACAAAGGACACCCTTTAACGAAGGACAGTAATGAAGCCAAGAATATTCTCTAAACCATTTCTCCTGAAAGTGAAGAGTCTTGTTTGAAAGAGTCTGAGTAGGCATAAACTTGACATTTGGATGACTAGGACAAGGTCCAAGCTCTTCTCTCTCTCTTGCATTTTCTCCTATCCGTCTATCCTCTATCTCGATCTCAGGGACCTAACACACATTATATACAGCTAAGTTGAAATATATTAATGAATTTACCCCCCTTATGAAAATGATTAAATATAAATTCTGGTCACTATTTAAGGTTTAATGTAAGTACTTAATTGCTCAATTTTTACGCACCTCATTGTCACCATTCCCTGTACTGTGATCTTCCTGTACTCCCTCTTTCTTGTCCCTAAATATATCAGAGCGGATGGTTGACTATATCAGCTGTTGATCTACCTATGATAAATTAAGTGGTGGCCCTGTGAACTCTCACTGACCTTAATGTCACCTCCTTCTGCCCTGTAAGCGTCCTCTTGTCCTCCCTCTTTCTCACTATCTTTTTCCTGAATCAGCCAGAGCAAATGAGATTATCAGAAGGAAAAAAAAAGCTTAATGATTTGTCTGGATGGTCTTGTGCAGTATTTTCCCCCTACAATTTACCTTTACATTCATCAATGCATGTAGAGTAACTAAACAGTAATTAAACAATAGAGTAAACCAAACAGAATGCAAAACAATAGCAGCTCAAGTTTTCAGCTCAATTTTGGCTTTCATTTTTAGCTCAACTCACCTCATCACCTGGTTTTGAACTGTCACCACTGTCCTGGTATTTGTCCTTCACTGTATTTCTCAACTTTCCCTGAAAGTATATTATACTTTTAATATATGAATACAAAGAGGCCAACATGAGTTTCAACATGAAACTTCTAAGATTCTTTTGGGAAATCTATGCTTTCACCTACCTCAAAGTCATCTTGTTCTGCCTTAAAGTCTTCCTGCCTTGCCTTTCCCTCTCTCTCTTTGCACTTACAATAGTAAAGCAGACCAAATGTGAATTTCGAAAATTACACTGTGTATATAGTGCTAATTTCCTGTTCTGTCAGCTCACCCTTATTTTTTGTGCTGTCCCAAAGAAAAAACGAATATCACTTGATTGCCTTTTCATTACTGATGTCTCTGTAAAATGACATGACTGTGTTAGCCAGCAAGACAAAATTACTTATACTACATAATTTACTCCCCCAAGTCATTCCAAACCTGTATGTTGTTAGGATTTATAAAAACAAAATGAGTAGGCCTATTCTGAAGAATATTTACACAGCTGTGCAATAAAATCAGGCCATACAACACAAACCTCTGGCTACTTGGATTACATGGAGCTTTTAGTACACCTTTTTAATGCTTTAACGTATTTGTCTCTTGTATTCTACTATTTTATTGAATAGACTGGAGCGGAAAATGTTTTGTTATGAAAAGAAACAGTAATTGGGTTTGGAATGGCAAAAGGGTAATAAAATTATAACGAAATGTTCATTAAAAAACTGGATGTTCATTTTTAGGAGAACTATCCCTTTAAATTTCAGAACAGACCTGATATGGACATATCAATATAAAAATGGTTGTAGTCACTTGGAGGTTTATTGTTCAAAAAACAGAGAAAAAGTTTGCAAATAATTTTTTAAAAAATAATGGATGTCATTCACAGCCTAAAAACACACGTTTTACCGTGGTCTAAGTATGAGGATGATAAATCTCCCACGTTAATTAATTCACAGTATATACAGTATATTCACTCGTGTGAATTATATATTGGCCTAATAATTATCTGACGGTGAAAACAGCCCAGTTAGTGTTTAATCACATCGCATACTTAAACGCATTGTATTACGTTAAATGTAGCTACGCAAATGTTTGCATCCCTGTATATCACTGTCGGTCTTGAAAGGCTTTTGTGAAATGTCCGTCAAATATTAAAGTTTAACTGCTTAGCATAATCTTACCTCGCACTCCGCTGAAAACTGAAGCCGTTAAACCGACGCGCTGCTTCTTTGCGAACTGTTAAGCCCGCCTTCTTTGATTTGATTGGCTAACATTTTGACATTGACGAGCGCTGTTAGAGAGCTGAGGCAGACCACGCTAAAAAAAAAAACTTTTTAATCGTAACATCATATTTTAGCAGTTCATAACACAGTGCAGCATATTGGCCATATCTGATTATTGGGGGGGACTTGTCCCCCTCAATGTATATTGTGGTTACGGCCCTGATTTGTACTGGTTGTTGCCCGGGAAACAAAGGACGCATTTCATGGATGCATTTAAACTAGCCTTTGAAATTGGACAGCCTTCTTCATGCCGCTGTGATGCAATCATGCCGATGTGATGTCATTCCAGCCTTCGAAGAATGAAATATAGATAATGTGTGTTTGTATCGTAATTCCCAGTTAAATGGTTCACCCTGTTTTATTATTGTGACTATTTGTGTTTACAATTAAGAGAATGTACTGTTAACCTTTTCAGATTAAATGAGTTTTGCAGTTGTTATTAGATAATTTTCATGTGCATATCTGGTAATTATTGTTGATTCACAGCATGCAACAACATAATAATGAACACATGGCACCATAAATGCCAAAGCATTTTAAAAGTCTTTGGAGCAACCTATCTTTTTTTTTTTTTTTTTTAAAAAAGGGAATTTTTTTTTTTTTTAATTTGCCTGCATGGCAAATGTGTAATTAAAACTTTGTCCTCTTTTCCACTGAGGATTTTTTTTTTTTTTAAAAAGGGACATTTATTTATTTATTTAAAACATTTATAGGTCAACTTAAGAGGAGCTACTCCAAAAATATTCATTAATCCACATCTGGAATAGTAAGCTACTAGTGAAATTGAAAACTACATAATCTTAATTGGAATACTTAGAATACTAGAATATTAGACTCATGAAAAAGCACCTGTAACATTTTGTTTGTTGTTTAAAGGAATAAATGTTACAACGGCTTGCCATAGCGCTTGCAGAAAGCGAGAGAGTGAGGGAGGGCATTGCTGCTTAAAATGCTGTGAATGTGACAGCCAATCGACCAGACTGCCAGCCTCTGCTTGGGGAGGGAATGTGGAGAAACCTCCATGAGGAAAATGCGCGCGAAGTGACGCGACACGCGCCGCTCTACAAGTGCTCTGACTATCTTCCACGAACAGCGCGAGAAGTGGGGCGCGAAACCGACTAGCCCGTTTGAGGGGACAAACATGACTGTGGTGCCCGGGGAGAACCTCGACGAGACTGTGGCATTGGCAGCCCTGTCCCAAGATGTTTACGACCCTGAACGGGCAGACCAGGAGTGCTGCGAGCGGGTGGTTATCAACATCTCCGGCTTGCGCTTCGAAACCCAATTAAAAACACTGGCTCAGTTCCCTGCCACCTTACTCGGTGACCCCAGGAAAAGAATGCGCTTCTTCGACCCTCTGAGGAACGAGTACTTCTTTGACAGGAACCGACCGAGCTTTGATGCCATCCTCTACTACTATCAGTCTGGAGGCAGGCTGAGGAGACCCGTCAATGTTCCTGTGGACATCTTTATGGAGGAGATTAAATTCTACGAGTTAGGAGAAGAAGTTATTGAGAATTTTAAGGAGGACGAGGGTTTCATCAAGGAGGAAGAGCGACCTTTGCCCGAAAACGAGTTTCAGAGACAGGTCTGGCTGCTGTTTGAGTACCCCGAGAGCTCTGGACCCGCGAGGGGCATCGCAATCGTCTCGGTGCTCGTCATTTTGATATCAATTGTCATCTTTTGCTTGGAGACTTTACCAGAGTTTAGGGAGGACGGGAAAATGTACGAGCACCTCGCATTCAATGGAACTGCTAACGTTAGTTCAAAGAAGCCCAATCCATTCACAGACCCCTTCTTTATTGTGGAGACCCTTTGTATAATCTGGTTCTCCTTTGAATTGCTCGTGAGGTTTCTCGCGTGCCCAAGCAAGCCCGCCTTCTTCAAGAATATCATGAACACAATTGACATCGTGGCTATTATTCCCTACTTCATCACCTTGGGTCTGGAGTTGGCCGAGCATCAGGGCAACGGCCAGCAGGCGATGTCTCTGGCCATCCTGAGGGTCATTCGCTTGGTGCGGGTGTTCCGCATATTCAAGCTTTCCAGACACTCGAAGGGGCTTCAGATCTTGGGCAAGACCCTGCAAGCGAGCATGCGAGAATTGGGTCTCCTCATATTCTTCCTTTTCATTGGAGTAGTACTGTTCTCCAGCGCCGTGTATTTCGCCGAGACAGACGACCCTGACTCGGGGTTCAGCAGCATCCCCGAAGCCTTCTGGTGGGCAGTGGTTTCCATGACAACTGTGGGCTACGGGGACATGTGCCCAGTCACCATCGGTGGCAAAATAGTGGGCTCTTTATGTGCCATCGCTGGTGTGCTCACCATTGCGCTTCCAGTGCCCGTCATCGTGTCCAATTTCAATTACTTCTATCACAGGGAGACCGAGCACGAGGAGCAGATGCAGTATATACTGACCAAACGATATTTTCTATCCCCTAACCCAACCCCAAACAAACCTAACCCTAAACCTACCCCTTACAGAAAACCTGTTTACATTGTTCTACTTTCAGATAAACATCATTTACTATTTGTAATAATTTTTTTTCTTTTGTGGGGACTGCATGCCGGTCCCCGCAATGCCAAAAATATCAGGTTTTACTATACTTGTGGGGACATTAAGTCTCCACAATGTAGCATAAACAAGTACACACACACACACACACACAAAGTGAAGATAGTAGATATTTACATTTTTATATATATTTTTTTACATTTTTTGTTCATGGACAGTTTAAATGATATGAGATATTGCTCAATGTCTTTCAGAATTTGAATATTTGGTTCTGTGGAATGAAATGTGGAAAGGAACAGGATCAGACTTGTTACATAAAAGTGTCATTTTTTAGATAAAACATAATCAACAGAGCTCGGCACCACATTCTTCCAATACAATGCACACTAATCATAAATTTCACTCCTAATAAATCCTAAAATATTTGTCCAAAAAATTTTAGTAGATTCATAAATTGAAATTGATATATATATACACACACACACACACACACACACACAAAGAGGAAATACCATTTAAAAACCTTTTCATGGAATGGTTTGCAGGGTATTAAGTTTAAGAAATATAATGTACACTATTATTAATTCCTGTTTTCATGTAGGGAACAAGCACATGATTTAATTAAATTACACAGCAATATGACTATGTCTATAAATATAGTAGTTTAAAGAGTAAAAGTGTATGAGATAAGACTTGCGGTATGCAGATTACAAAACTAGAATATTTAATTCTAAAACAACACTGCAAGTTACAATTGTAGACTTTCTTTCTGTGCTGTTTGTGTACACTAGGGGGCGGTATGTGTCTGATGTATCACTTTGTCAATATCCTTTCTGTAGATTTAGTGGTTGCTGGTAAAGCCAGAATTTATAATTCAATTGAGCCAGTGTACAATAAAGTTTAAGGCATTATTTATGTTTACCACATTATCTATAAATGAATTACTACAATATAATATTGAACAGCGACTGTTCTTCAAAATAAAATGTACATTTAATAGTTGTTCTTTGAGGTAACTGTTTCAGAGTAACAAATTCCGAGAAACTGTTACTATATTATGTTACAATTTATAGTAAGATAATGCAGAATAAATAGCTAAAATTGCATCTTGAATATGTAATATATATAACTGTAATAGCTGAAATCTGTCTGATATGCAAGGTTAATGTGGCATCCAGTTATCATAAACAGTCACTGAATTCATTGGGGAACAACCAAATATACATTCTCATCAATCTAATTACAGAATCCTTAAACTAGTCCCATAAACAGAGCAGTGCACAGCATAAATAATGTTGATTAATAAATAGATCTTATATTAGATGCATATTCTTAACCCAGGGTCAGTCCACGGCAGCCGTGGGACTGCTGTGCCAGGTTACACGAGGAGAGAGTGGGGGTATTTCCTGACCCACTTTAACATTGTTGTGTTGCATTGACCTGTTTAATGTTTTATGAGGGAATGCTGGTCTGGTCACATGAAAAAAAAAAAAAAAAAAGCAAAAATAAGACTGACATATAAAGACCCCCGACGTCATATTGTATTGTGTGTTATAGATTTTACACACGCACACACACACACACACATGACTGCCATGTTCACTTCAGCAAAGGTCATGTTATTCCAAGCTGTGGATACTTTCATAATCCAGGAACCTTTGGCACTAACAGTTCATCAGTGGCCATCATGTGACTCTCATATACCTCCTCGTGGCCCAGGAATATTGTCCCTTAATACTCTGTCTAAGGATCTGAATACGCAATGACAAGCACAGGGGTTTTTTTTCTGCTGGAAAATATGGCAAGCAAGACACAATAAGAGCGACTGCATAATGCTGTTGTCATGTGTGGCACTCGTGCTATTGGCTTGTGTTACAGCTCACAGGTGTTGAATAGGTCAGTGTGACTTTGTGGCTTGCTGCAGTTGTTGGTGCAGTGAAAATGAAACAGCACGGCTTTAGCTCTGGCTTTCACAGGGATGATATTTACATGGTTGCACGGCAGCACGGTGTTGATATTCCTAAAACAGTCTAGTTAGGGTTTCCTCTGAATGATTCAAATTTTTAAACTGATTCAGCTAGACTGCTTAAAGGGATAGTTCACTCCAAAAATGAAAATTCTGTCATTATTTACTCATTCTTATGTAATTATGTAATTTAATTAATATATGTAATTATTCTTTTAAATATTTAATTTAATTTAATTTATGTTTTGGAGTATTAAAATATGTCAGTACTTCATAATCAGAGACAATTTACAGTTTAAAAAAGTAATAAAGAAGCAAAAAAGCCTGTTGTATAATTGTATAAATAATCTTTGTCAGAAACTGAAATAACTAAAAAGTTTAATAAATAAAATTGTATTTAACAATTTAGAGTAATAAACAATTGTCAACTATTTTTAATATCAGTAGTGTTACCGCAATACAATAGCACCAAAAGGATGGAGTGCCATTAGCCAATCAGTGTCATGATGTTTATGTTGCTGCAAAGTTAGTGTCATTATCCAGATTAAGTCAGTTTAGAATTATGAATTATATTCTTATCTGACAATGTCAGTGTAGTTAAATTGGCAATATTACATGTCTTTTAAGTGAATATTATGTTAAACCCCAACTAAGCAGGCCAAAGGTGACAGTGACAAAGAAGCAAAACTCCATCAGGTGACAGTAGTGGATTATAAAAACCTGGGATAACATCTAAAAACTGAGTAATATCTACATGCTACAATTTAGTTTTAAATATTATAATTTTTAAACGGCCAATTTGGATGTTGTTGTTTATTACGGTAACAGTCAGTGGTGTTACTATCAATGTCTTACTGTCGATGTTGGTGGTGTTATTGGTGTTAGTGGTGGTACCATTACAACTGGTGGTGTTACTTTCAGTGCTCTTACTGTCAGTAGTGTTACTGTTGCTAGTGTCACTGTCAGTGGAGTTTCTGTTGATGGTGTTACTGGTGGTGCCATTACTGCTGATGGTAATACTGTCAATGATGTTACTGCCATTGCTGTTACTGTTGATGGTGTCACTGTCGATGGTGTTACTGCTGGTGGTGTCACTGTCAGTGGCGTTTCAGTTGATGGTGTTACTTTCAGTGGTGGCATTACTACCAATGGTGGTTCTGTCGATGGTGTTACTGGTGGTGCCGTTACTGCTGGTGGTGTTACTGTCAATGACGTTACTGCCAGTGCTGTTACAGTCGATGGTGTCACTGTCAGTGGTGTTACTGTTGATGGTGTTACTGTCAGTGGTATCATTACTACCAATGGTGGTTCTGTTTATGCTGTTACTGTTGGTGGTGTCACTGTCAGTGGTTTTACTACCGGTGATGGTGCTGTCTATGGTATTACTGGTGGTACCATTACTGCGGATGGTGAAACTGTCAATGATGTTACTAACAGTGCTGTTACTGTTGATGGTGTTACTGCTGGTGGTGTCACTGTCAGTGGTGTTTCAGTTGATGGTGTTACTGTTTCAAGTTTATTTTGTACAGCACTTTTCACGATACAAATCATTGCAAAGCAACTTTACAGCAAATTAAGTTTCTACAATATTTAGTGGTAGCTTATCAGTCAAAAGGGTGCTTCGACATGAGTTCCGCTCCGACTCTGCTGGGGTGCAGGCCATCAGTGCGAAAAAGCCTAGGACGCTCGCAGAAAAGATTCCAATTATTAACAAAGGGCAGTTTCTGTTCTTTACACCATGACAATAACCATTCATTTAAAGCAAAAAGTCTACTGAACCTTTCGTGTCCTCGTCGATACGTGGGAAGCGGTCCTGACACGATGATCGTCGTCGCGGGCGATGTGCGGCGCACCGTCTCGATCAGGCTCCTGAAGTCCCTCTTCAGTGTCTCCGTCTGCCGCAGCTTGGTGTCGTTAACCCCCGTGTGAAGCACGACCGCTCCGGTGCTCTCGTCGCCCTTCAGGATCACGGGTATCTGCGCAGAAACATCGAGAACACGAGCACCAGGGAAACAGTCTGTCAATGTCAATGATGTGACATTCAGCAACAGCAGCACTGAGTTAAAACGACAGTCTGTACTGTCAATGATGGCATTACTACTGATGGTGGTTCTGTTGATGCTGTTACTGTTGGTGGTGTCACTGTTAGTGGCGTTACTGTCGATGGTGGTTTTACTACCGGTAATGGTGTTGTCTATGGTATTACTGGTGGTACCATTACTGCGGATGGTGAAACTGTCAATGATGTTACTAACAGTGCTGTTACTGTTGATGGTATTACTGCTGGCGGTGTCACAGTCAGTGGTGTTTCAGTTGATGGTGTTACTGTCAATGATGGCATTACTACTGATGGTGGTTCTGTTTATGCTGTTACTGCTGGTGGTGTTTCTGTTAATGGTGTCACTGTCAGTGGTGTTACTGTTGATGGTGGTTTTACTACCGGTAATGGTGCTGTTTGTGGTATTACTGGTGGTACCGGATGGTGATACTGTCAGTACTGTTATGGTCAGTAGTGTTAATGTCAATGGTGTTACTACCAGTGGCTACTGTCGATGGCATCAATGACAATGACATTACTGTTAGTGATGGTGTTACTGTTGATGGTGTTGCTGTTCAATGGTGGTGTTACTGTTGATGGTTTTATTACTGCCGGTGCTGTTACTGCCAGTAGTTTCACACTCAGTGCTGCTGTTGCTGAAAGTGTACAGTTAGTAGTAACATTATATATTTGACTATAATCAAATGTGGCTAAGTGTTTACATTTTTGTAAAAATCTTGCAGAAGATTTAGGTTTAACATGTTATTATTTATTTATACATTATACATTATTTATTTATTGAGATGTTTTTCTATTCAAGCTGCACTACCACCTGCATTTGAATATTGTGTGCTATGTCACGCTGCTGTGACAGACTGACTGCTCTGTGGCAGTTGTGCAGTGTAGAACAGTTGTCCATCTAAATTACGTTGATCACTGGCTGTTAATATTTATGAGGTTTATATATGGGTTTGTAGTAGTCATATTGGTATTTATAGATGCAGAAAACATCTTTAGCTGAAAAATGAACATTTTCTATTCTTCATTGCCCAATTCTGGTTGCTGTTATGCTCTGCAACTTTATCATGCATATCCAATATGGATTAAAACATGTTCAGGTCCCATTTGACCTCTAAAAGTTGTGTTACTGTGAGCTGTTTCCCACTCTAAAAAAGACAATATAATTTTGTTGAGTGTTTTTTACCATTAATGGCAGCATAAGAAATAATATCATTATGTATAATAACACAATTTAACTAACAATTATGTCTTAATGCAAGGATTCCCAAACTTTTTTGGCAGCCAAACCGCGTTGACATTAAAAACACATTTGCATGTTAATGGTTCTCTGATTTCAGTTAATGGTCACATGGCATGCAGGTAAACAAAAACAAAAATTCTTCTGCTGCTGAAACATCCATGGAAAACAAACAAACAAAAAACAGACCATACCCTGATACCAGCTGAAATAGTTGCTGTTTTATTTTACAGTATGGGAACCCCCTTTTGGGAAACCATGTCTTAATGTATGAATTTGTATGAATTCATAATGTATGAATCTCATTCAAGAACTCTTTCTATACAGCCTGTTTATCTAATGTACTCTAAAATCAGTAGCTCTGGTTGTGGCTTCTGGGTGTTCCAGTCGTGCTAAAATACACAATAAAATAACAGCTTTTAACATCTTTTAATATGCAATGGCTAAGAGTTCTGTTCTCTCTTTGTTTACAGGTGCAGTCATTAAAATGGACTTCCTGTCCTTCAGATCTGCATATACATGCAGCACAATATCATCAAGGCAATATGAACCTTCACCAGAGCAGCACTACGTGGGACAAAACAAACTTCATTTTAACCGCATTCACTTGTTCCTATCAAAGGAATTATGCACAGTGTCTCAAAAGGAATCATATGGTCAAATGTGGAATCTAACCATGAGGAAATAGGACAACGTGGTGAAGATAAAGAAGATGTTTTGAAGCGCGCTGAGGTAGAAACTATTTACTTGAAATCACAGAGTACATGCACAAACAATTTGTGAGATGCATCTTGATGTTTATCTGCCCCTAAAACAACAACATGCTACTGGGACAGGTGTGTGTGAGTATGTACACGTGAATATGTGTCTTCAGACCAGCAGTGTCATGTTTAAACGTTACAGATCATGTGCTATACCAAAACATATTATGGCATGCATGGAAAGTTGGGCAAGGAATAAATCTAGATTATTATGTTAATTTATTTTTTATTTTTCAACAAACGCAGTAGTCATTTTATGTGGGAACAACTATCAATGACAACAAATTACTTGACTGTTGAGGTTAACATTGTTAAATATCTATTTTTTTTTAAGTATCATAGGTTTTATATAAAAATGGAATCGGTTAAACTGGTGAAAGGTTATTTTTCTAGCTTTTTAAAATTTTGCTAAATCATTTTCAATTTTCTTTCTTTTTTCCACTCTATTTTGCCTACAGTGAAAAGGAAATGTGTATACATGTAGAAATTCTGTCATGATTTCCTCCTGTAATTGTTTATGCAGTACAAACACTGAAACGCAAAGGTTGCTGCAGGTTTGTGTCTTTATTTCTTTTATGATTATTGATATAGTTTCATAATCACCCATCACTGAAAGCATCTACCTCACTGTCCTGATTGGCTGTTTTACTATGCGTTTACCTCACTGTATTGAGTTACGTCAAACAGTTCACAAGCCTTATTTCTGGAAACAGCTCGAGCATACAGCATACGTTTCCCCACATTATTGTCGGATGTGTGTTGTCCTGACTTTGTCCATTCTGGTTTTGGGCAATCATTCAATCCAAAAAGTCATTACAATAATGTAAAGCTGGCAAGTAAACACTCATCCCAACATGCCCCACAACAGAATAAATAAGAGATTGAAATGTATTTCCCCTGCTTTCTAATGATAGAGATATATAGGCCTAAGAATTGAAATCTATAAATAGATTTTATTAGCTAAAATGTGGGAAGTTGCAATGTGATAGAGTTTATATGCTAATGATGATACTTGAGAGATGATTGTACAACAGTAGATTTTCCTAGATGAAATGTGTATATTATATATAATGTCCCTATTTATATAAGTAATTATTTCGTTAAGGTTTGTTCATGAGCACACATGTATCCATTTCAATTCCTGAAATCCTGACTTTACATGCATACTGTATGAATATCTGCATCATGTCAAAATAATGTCCACCGTCCAGTAAATTATCTTGTCGTTTCTGTTGCTCTGCTGCTTTGAGGTCTTCCATGTGAAAGCAAGATGCTTCATAATGATTTCTTCACATTGCCATTATTTTCACTCTTTCATTTCATTTACAAGCTAGTTTTGATGTATCACCTGTTCTCTGCATCTAAATTGGACATTACTACTGTTTAAAAATAGGACAGACAGAGCAGTAATGGCTGACATTGATTCATTTAAATGGACAGTTTGTTTAAATGAATTAAATCGCTGAGTCATTTGAGTCATCACTCAAAGTTCTAAAAATTTCATTTTTGCCTACAATACAGTTTATATAAACTTTTGCAATACAGTGATACAGTCATATTTTTCAATTACATTACATAAATTGTGTCAAATATTGCAGAAACACAGACCCAGAGCAATTCATTTATGAATTATAAATCATGTTTGGTCCATCATTTCATATTTGGCATAGACAGTGTGTTAATATGATCATGTCAATATAAATTGCACGGCTTTAATCATGTGTTTTACACATGGTTTTCATGTTGGCTGCTGCCCAGTCATTAGACCTGATATGAGCTGTGATACAAACATTTACTTACACATTCGAGTAATCAATAGCATGAATGTATCATGCAGAACAAGCAAAGTTTTTATTATTAAACTGTAATGATCTATATGAAAGACCGCAGGGTAGGGGACGCCAGAAACAACTTTCACAAATAAACCAAAGTGACACTTATTCCACATACACTCAGAAAAGCTCTTTCTCTATCTGCTGTGACCGTTTTTTTGATTTGGTGGTATTTAACTGACTTCTTTGGACATACAATATTTTATGAAGTTTTTATGAATTCAAAGCAGGCCAAGTTGTTGACTAAGCTAACATGAATGAATTCTAACACTGCCACTGGCAGTTACCACATTTGTTATGGCTGTGAGTTACACTCTAAAAAATGCTGGGTTAAATACAACCCAGCGCTGGGTAAAATATGGACAAGCCCAACAACTGGGGTGTTTTGACCCAGCGGTTTGATTAAATGTTTAACTCAACCTTCTGGGTAGTAACCCAACCGCTGGGTCAAAACAACCCAGTCTCGGCATTTGTCCATATTTTACCCAGTGCTGGGTTGTATTTAACCCAGCATTTTTTAGAGTGTAAGAAACAGGAATTGAATGGCTTTTTAAATTTTAAAATAGACATTGAACATTATTTCTTCAAAAATAAAAAGTTAACCACTAGCTGCTGAATTCAACTTCCTGTTCAACTAATAAATATTGTTTAAATAAATTAACATGGACAACAATAGATTTAATAACGATAATAGAATTAACATCCACCTTATTTTTAGCGTAAGAGTAGGCGCAGCCATTTTTAACCTGCAAGGCTTCCGGTGTCAGTAGCTTCCAGATATTTTAGCTGTACAAAAACAGTCTTGCTGCAAACTGGTTTTTGTTATCATATTATTTCAAGTCATCTTAATCCTAAACACTTTGAGTTTGTCACTTACTGTTTACTCCACTTTGTTATTCTTCTAGTAATTTACCTATAGTGGCCAATGAATCGCACAGTCACAGGAAATAGCTTACTCTGATGTTGAATAATAAGTGAATAATAGGAAAAATTGGATAACTTTTATTAAGAAGTGCTGTTACTTTGAACTGAGCTCTTAGACTGTAATTTGGTCATCTTGTAAATCAGATGTTTCTTATATGAAAATGGCAGGTAGATTTGCAGCATTTTGCAGAAGAAAAGTGTAAAAAAATATCACAATTACCCCTGTCTGCTCTATCTTGCGGTCATGGATGCTGCTGACGTTGATACTTTGTCAGTTTTGCAGAGTTTACACAGGCTGCACCTTCATGTCATGATTCTTCAAATGTGGCACTCCGTTCATACGGCTCATATCATTCCCTACACATCCCTGATATCCACACATGCGATTTCTATGCTAGATAGATCATAGATGTTCCATTATATCTCCGCTGACTGTCTGCTGCGTGTACTCACACATGTAACTACACTGTTGCCTAAGCAAGAAACGCAAGTGTATGTGCATTTCTGACATGTTCCTTTAATACCACCTTATAAATGAAGTGGTATATATTCAAAGCAGGGAAATATATTTTCAAGCACTCCATTACATAAGCTTATCGTGTATTTATGAAACCGTTGTGAGAAGTTATAAAACAGGCAAAGTGTTGCACAGTTTAGTACCGTATGTGTCTGTTGTTTGTTCATAGTAAGCAATAATGCATGATAAATCGTATGAATACAATGTTGCTTTGCACATGATGTTAACTGGTTGCTCATGCAAATATATTTCTTTACTAGTGCCTTATATCATGTATCATATCATCAGCGAACAAAACTGAAATT